GAACAAAGTTAGAGAAGCACTCTCTTCAGGTGTGTGGGACGATGTTCCGATACAATATAGGGCCAAAACAATCAAAGATGATCTGATTGGATACGGGGGTTTGATTCTAAGAGGAGATAGGATAGTTATTCCTAGGAATCTACAAGAGAAAATAGTACAACTGGGTCATCTATGACATCAGGGTAGCACTGGAATCAAAGCTCACATAAGAACAAAAGTCTGGTTCCCTGAAATGGATAAAATGGTGGAAAAAGTAGTTAGCAAGTGCAAACCTTGTAAGATGACCGCCTTGCCAGATAAACCAAATCCTATCATTCGGCGTATACCAACAAAACCGTGGCAAGTTCTGGCTATGGATTTTAAAGAAGGATTACCTTCTGTGAAATCTTTGTTTGTTGTTGTTTGCTACACTAGTCGGTTTATTCAAATTGAACCAATGAAACCAGCAACATCTCAGAGAGTAATTAGTGCATTATTAAGGATATTTGCTAGTTTCGGCATACCTCGTTCGATAACCGCCGATAATGATCCACAGTTCAGGTCGACAGAGATGAAGCAATTTTGTAAGAGTTATAACATACACTTAAATCTTTCCGCTCCATACTGGCCTCAACAGAATGGAGCTGTGGAGCGACAGATGAGGAACCTTGGGAAATGTGTGAAAATTAGCGTAATCCAGGACACGGACTGGGAAGCCGATTTATTGGATTATTTGATGATGTATCACTCCACACCACAGGAAACAACAGGCGTTTCACCGGGCAAGATGATGTTTGGTCGCGAGTTGAGAAAAACTGTTCCCTCACTTGAGAAAAGTGACGCTCTAAATTTGGAAGGAGCGAGAGACAACGACATGATTTCAAAGGAGAAATGTAAGAACCGTTGTGATGAGCATCGAGCTGCCGAGCCGCATTCACTCAAACAGGGGGATTTGGTCATTATGAGGAATTTGAAACCAGGTGCACTAGAACCTCGATTCAGAGCAGAAGAATACGAAGTTGTCGAAATAAATGGAGGGGAGGCAAAGATCAGATCTAAAGATAATGGTAATATCTATGTCAGAAACAGTAGCCATTTGAAGAAGCTAGAAAGCCATATAACACATTCACACGATCAAGCAATCAAGGAAAGGGAGTTTAAAGGAGATGAGGAAAATTTGCAGGAAGAACAGGTTAAACTGAGAAAGCGCAGGGTTCAAACACCAAAAAGGTTCAATGATTTTGTTTTGTAGATATTACAATAGGGAGGTTGCAAGGAGCTGCGTTAATGTCTAATAAACTCGATAATAATATTGGTGAGAACAAATATGAAATAATAAAAACAAACCAATAAAAACAAGGAGAGATGTATCGGATATGTCATACAATGAACTGTGCATATAGTGGTGAGATCATTGGATAACACACGAGTATTGGTATAGGTAAGTACTCCAAGCAGGATTGCTCTGGGATCGATGAGTAGTATAGTATGTGCAGTCGCAGTGTTCGGTCGATTGGTCAGGAGAATGTTCGGGAGTGATAATCGGTGCAACGAAGACAGTACACACACTTAGAAAATAATACAGAACTCGGTTTAATTTTCTACCGAACCTCTTCGGTCACCAACGAGAAACCGAATAAATTGTTTAAAACATTTTTTTTTTCAGGCGTATTCAGACCCGAATTCCGGTAAAATTGTATAAATTTGACAGATAGAAATGAAGACTGAACCGAAAAGTACGGTGAAGTATCTACATTTACGAATTAGGTACGTGAAAACTGAGAAACACGGTAAACTGAACCGAATATTCGCTAAAACGTGTTAAACGTCAAACGTTCTACTTGCACTCAACTTCACGATGGAAGTTTTAACCGAAAACTCGGCTCTCGAAGCTGAGTCTAAAACTAGACAGCCATTTTTTCTCACGTATGCTCGTTTTGACTGTACATATCCACGTTGTAACTCGCGTTACGCAAGTTTTTATTCGCTGAAATGGCATATTGTGGAAAAGCATCCGGAAAACTCTCGATGCTACATATGCTGATTTACAGAACAGTCCTAAACTCGAAAGCACTGCTGCTCATCGTTTGCACGAGCCCTGTTCCCACCTGATTGGCTGTCAAATTCCATTTCCGCTTGAAATCCTTCCTTGCAGTTCCACCCTTTTTCTTCAGTATGTGCCTCACAATTTACCAGTGTTCCAGCCTTAGTTCCGGAGTATTGGCTGGATTCATCTCCTTGGAAACCACTGTGACGCCATTTTCACAGTACCACTGTTTAAGTGGAATTTAAGTAGTAGCAGCTTGCCAAGTCCGGCCAGAACAGGCAATCCAGCTCATGCTGCTCCAAAAAAGGCAGCAGTCTTTTCCGTAGGCACTCCTCCTAGTAAATTTGCTGGTTCATGGTGTCAGCCCACAACTGCAGATTGCCTGCCAGATAAGGACTTTTTGGGGAATTTCGACTTCTTTTTGATTTTACATTCTTCCGGGGCACTCTTCCGGTCAACTGAGGTATAACATTCCTGCCCAGGAATTTGATCGAAAACTGCCAGGAGCAGATGAACCGAAAGCACTGCTGCTGCTGATAATGATGACGACCGACCGGACACCACCACACACGGTGATTGAATAATCGGCAATCGGTCGTCGTGTAACGGGTAGGAAGTTCTTGTCATTCATTTCCGGCACCTTCTTGCGGTCGGGCTGGTTTCTCGTCGATGCTTTCTTCTGGATCTCGATGTACTCGGCGCGCTTCGGACAGGCCTTTCTTGTAGCTTTGTGAGTAGCACCGCAGTTGGCGCAAATGGTATTGGCTACTTCGAGTCTGTCGCAGGCGTCGGTTTTGTGTTGCTTGCCACACTTGGTGCAGCGGCTGGCCATACGGCAATTCTTCGTTCCATGCCCGAACAGCAGGCAGTTCGAGCATTGGGTGACTCCGCAGCTGACCGGCTTGTACCGCTCCCACTTCACCACGATGTTGAACAGCACGCCGATGCCCTGGAGGTCCTTCAAACTTGTTGACTTGTTCTCATGGTGGATCAGGTATAGCTGGTCGCGGCACTTGCGGCCTTGTTGTGGTGGGCCATCTTGTGAATTTGGACCGGCTTCAGTCCATTAGCCACCAGCTCTTCCAAGGGGACGCCTATGTTCATGTCGTATAGTCCTTGCAGGATCACCTTGAGGGATGTTACTAGGACCTAATGCAATGTTCAGCTTGATTTAATCGGGTTCTCCCTCGGTAGAGAACATTGTTCGGCTGCCTTTCAGTTTGTCCTTCATTGCTTCTATTGCTGTCAGTTCCGAGTCTACCTACAGAGTCACTTGGTTGGAATAATTTAAACTCATTCGGCAATCTTTTTGTAGGCTGGCTATTTGTTTCTGCTCTGCTAGCGCGAGTGATTGAATTTTCCCATACTTGTTTAGTAGTAGAAGACGAGTGCACGGGTGAACTTTTGTTCATCTACTGAACAAAAATTGACACAACAGCGGGGCCCTGTTTACTAAAAATAAACACATGAATAATGCTCGCCTAACTGAAAAGGGCCTATCAACTTTTGTAAACAATTTGCTAGGTCCTTTTCACAAGAGCACTATCGGGACGGGACGAGTTTCTCCTACCCGATGGTGTTAATAGTTTGCGTGAGAGTATTCGGTTCGCGCGAAGAGGACTTAACAAGTTTTGTATACAAAAGTTGATAGGCCCGTTTCAAATGTTATGCGAGTATTATTCATGTGTGTTTATTTTTAGAAAACAGGACCCCGCTGTTGTGTCAATTTTTATTCAGTAGATGAACAAAAGTGTTTGTTTTTGTTATGACAGCTATCCATATAAAATAATCCGTTAGAGATAACTTCGTCAAGATACATAATTTGTCAATTCATAAAAAAATCACTGGATAACTGTTCAAAAGACAGTTTTAACGTGTGAAATGCAGTGTCTTTTAAATTCTGTAAGTGTTGCTGAACGTTTTATATGTCTAGGCATCGAATTGAAAGCATTTATTCCTTTATAATAAAATGAATTTTGTGAAGCACAAGTCAAGAAATGTGGTGTCCTTATTTCAGCTGCGTTTCTAATATTATATCTATGAAAGTCACTTCCTTTTTCAATTCGATCACACAAATATCGAGGCAGCAAACCGTTAACTACTAACACAAATGAACACCATAGTCAAATATACAATTCTTTGCTTCACCGACAACCATTGTAAGGCGTCTAGCATCAAAGTTGAGGAAGTGAATCTATTACATCTCAAAATCAAACGCATTATTTTATTCTGCAAGCGCTGTAATCTCGATATTTGTGTTGCATTGGCCAGAAACAAAATGGAAGGGGTAAAGTCAAGATGAGGAGAGATGATTGATTTGTATAGCTGTATTTTACTGGCAATAGTTAAATCGTTTTTCAGTCGACATAGAATTCCATACTTCTTGGCAATTTTCTTGATGACATTGTCAATGTGAGAGTTGAACTGAAGTGTGTTGGTTCGCGTGGGCGTACTTTGGTTCGCTTGTAAAGGGCCTTAGCAAGTTTGTTTACAAATGCTTTTGTGCCGTTTTAAAATGTTATGCCTGCTTTGTTCTAGAGTATAATCGATTCGCTTAGATATCATTTACACCCCGAAACCGTGAAACAGAGCAGATCTGGTTGCACTGCCAAAATCGTACACAAATCACCCACATCTTCCATTGCGTGCAGAATTTTACGACAATCCATCGCACTTACCAACCACACCAACACACGCACACTCATTCGTGTGATCCAATCGTGCAGGGATATTCGCGGTGGTCGGATCCCATCCATTATGATGCGGGTGCTATGTAGAGTATAGGTAGACAGCCGGTCGATCCGCACCGGTGTGGAGGCAATAGTAGTGATGGTGGTGGTGGTGGTGGGTGGCATTTCCACTCTGCCGCTTTGGATGTCGGTGTGCGGGAAAAAAGAAGTTTCAGCCAATTTTCTCGGTCGAGGTTTCCCAGTGAGCTGCCAGTTTTCCCTCAATCTTCGTCGCGTACGGTTCGTCGGTCGGTTTCGGTTTGTTCTTTACCTTCTATGCTCTGCTGTGCTACCTCTCACTTCTTCTCTCGCTGTCTCTGTGCGTGTCGTCGGTCCGTTTTAGCACCTTGGGACGTCCATCCAGCTCGTGACGGTTGGGACGGTGCGGTGGCGGTGTAAAATCTTCTCCTCCTACGCGTTTGTCTAGCGCTTTTTGGTTGGATCTATTTTTTCCCCATTAAGGTGCCGAGGAGAATCTCGAAATAAATGCAACTGATCGAATTGTGATTTGGGAGAGAACCCGCTGTTCCGGAGGGGGAAAACCAGGTTTATTCAATCAATCCTGTGTCCCGAAGAGGGAAGATTTTTGCTCTACTCGAAGGAAGCGGTAAATGAAGAAAGAACAAGAAGAAGACGAAGCAGTGGTTCAAGTGCTGATGAGTAACGTAAAAACACAATACTACGAGCTGCAAAAATAACAAAATCTGTCGGAAGGCAAGTGAAAAAGTGCGAATGAGCTTCAACGGGGCGGGATGGACGGAATCTGTCGAGATGTGAAGAAATGTGGACCATTAATATTTAATGGCACAAAATAGTAGGGGAAAAAAATATCATCCTCGCACTGCCGACCGAACAGTGGGCCAAGCGGTAAAATTGGTGCTAATTACTTTCAATTGATACAGATTTGACGATTTATAGCGTTTTTTTCTCTGTCTCGATAATGTTATCATCAATCTCCTACAAGAAGTTATAATTTAACGGCTTAGCAAGTTAACATAAGTGGCTCCCCAGCGTTAGACTTTTGAATTACTGAAGGTCTTGAAATTAAGCTTAAGCCACTTTGTTTATATAATGCAGCCCTAACAGGTACTATTAATTTATGCCACGATTTAGTGCTTTTCCATCCACTGTGGTACAGCCGAAGGTTATTTTTATGTTTTTAAGAATCCTCATTGGATCATTTTCGTCGCCCATCTCGGCATTTATTAACATTTTCGAACCAATTTTATCCTCTTGTATAGGTTGTCATACAATTCGTATCAATTCTTTTAAGGGTTAGAATAGTTCTACCCGAGATTTTTAACATTTGACCTACAGTGCACTCTGCTAGCGTAACTTCCGTTAAATGTGAGTTTGGTTTATTTCTGTCTCTCTGTAATTGTTTTTGTTGTTGTTGTTTACTGCTTTTGACGATCGTTACCGTTGCACGATCGTTATTTTTTGTAGATTATGAAAGATGGGATTGATTTGAATGAAAATGAATCATTTTCCAATTCTTCGGGCGTCCAACTAACATTTCCCGCAAACATTCAGCCCATCTGATTGAGAAAAATCTATCCTTAGCCATTATTTTCGGCAAACGAATCTCACAAACACCAAAGCCGTTTAGGAGAGCCAACGGATATACAGACAGCAGTGGCAGCCCAGCGCAGACAAAGGAAAACACCCTGATAACAGGACAGAGGGAAGGGAAAACTCTCCTACATATACCTAGTCGTTCGTTAGCGTTCGAGTGACCGGGGTGTGGGTGAGAAAAGCATCTGGTCGGACTGCTCACACTCGCGGGATGCAGCGGGAGTTTTTCCTGATTTCATCTCGCGAGTGTTTGCCACCGTGCTATTGCAGCAGCCAGTACAAATATAAACGAAAATATACAAAGTCTCGCTCGACTCAAGATCTGTACGAGGCGACTTGCATCGGCCGGCCGATGACACATGGTGACGGCGCGGTCTCTTTTTTGTGCACCCGTTCATGATGCACCGGTAAAGTGCATCATACGGAAATAAGCACAGGGAGTGGAAAATAGAAGTGTCATCTAGTTAGTGACTGCGCTGTAGAATATGTCGGCGAAATAAGTGTAGGTAGGCAAAAGGGTCTTTGCAAGGAATGCGCACTGCTGACGGTGATAAAAATATGTATCTTCGTTGCTTTGCTGCCATAGGCGAAAGAATGCTAGCTGTGGATCCATTAAGGAATACCGGTATGAAGCGGAAAACGAAAGTGTAGCTCTCCAAGTGTGAATGACTTTCAGCGGGAGTCCATGCCGTGGTGATGTTCATAAAATGAATGGGAAATGTGAGTGGTTGAACTTATGGTTTGGGAATTATTGAAATTTGGTGTGTTTGCTTCAGATGTTTTAAATGCTTGGTAAAACTACAATAGACAACCCTATGGGCTTGTACGCAATGGTGACGTATGACAACGCGGTCTTATATAATAAATCTTATTTGTTAACTGCAGCTGGAGTTTGTGTTTTGTGTAGGAATAAGAATTTGAGCGGGGTTCTCTCTGTTTATTTATACTCTTTAGTATGACGCGCTTGACATAGATGGCCTACAGCAACTCACGAAGAGCTACTGATTCCGATCAATAGCGGTACGGCTTCTTCCTCCTTCTATGGATGCTCATGTGGGCTGCCGCTCGCTGCTTGCAGGCAGCCACCACTCACCACGCGGTGATTGAATAAACACCGTTTGGTGAGACCGGATGGAGTTCAACTTTGAAATCTGTGTTAGGGAAATCGCTTTTCACAGGCAATCGGTGATAATTTAAACTATCATGGCAACAGTTTTACATCCATGCAATTTTCAATAGTGGCATTTTGAAAAATGATACAGTCTTAATTTTATCAGATTTGTAGAAAAAAAATCCTATCGATTGGCGTATTAAGAATTAAAATCCATCATTTCTGAATCAAAATCAGACCACTTTCATGCCAGGACCGACTTTGGTTTTTAAAATCGCACCCCCAATGCAGGGCTGGTAGCGATCAATGCTGTCAAAAATAATGATTTTAGTGACCATGTTGAAGAAATAAGTGACCAAATAGTGACATATAGTTGTAAACAAAGTGACTAAAAAGTGACCTAAGAGAAAATAAATGTTTGATGTTTTAGACTTTTTCAATATGTATCTCAAACGAACCTTACCATACTCCATATGTCTGTACCATACGAACCTTTAAAGCGAAAGATTCAAGTTTATGGCCAAACCCACAGTATTAGTCAGGGTGTCTACTAACTGCAAAAACCTGGAAAACCGGGAATCCTCTGAAAATGTTATTTTTCCTTAATATATCTGGACGGCTCAGAGAATTTTATAATTTTCTTACTAATGATACTTTAAAGAAAAGAATGTATTTTAAAATAAATGCATTTAATTTTTCTCGTTATTTTCATTCACACTTTGAACTTTATAGATCCACAGTGGACTAATCTTCAGTAACAAATAAATTTAAAAAAAGAGACTTGAATAATGTATTTTTTTTTTTGGAACATGGATATTTCCCAGAAATGTTAAATTTTAACTAGTTCTGGACTTAAAAGCTATAATACTTCAAGAAATTTTCAAGAATCTGGGGTCAAAATCCATGCACAGTTTTAAAAGCTCGTGGAATTTTATTGTAATTTCTAAGTTCTGGGAAAATAATCTTTCAAAAAAACATCAAATGCAATCTGCTCTTAAGAATAGTTCTGAGGAATTTTAGATTTCTTGTGAAGCCTGATAGTTATGAGTAGAATTTCACGAAACCCTGAAATTGAGTTAAAAGCATATTTTAATGAAAACTGAAAATTTCTGAGTAGCACAACTCCTTCAGAGAAAAATTACAAGTTCCGAGGATAATTTTATAAAGTTTGTGGGAGAAAACGAATCCGGAGCATAAGTCCTTGGAATCTTTTTGAAACAACTAAAAGGAGGATTACAATTAAATCTGAGAATAACTCCAGAACATCTTCAAAGGAAATCGGAAAATAAATTAAGGAGGGTTTGCCAAACAAATTATGAGACGAAATCTAACGAATTTGTGAAAAGAAATGCCAATGAATTCTTAGGATACTTTCAATGTGAGTAGAATTCCAAGGGAAGGATTGAGATTCAAAAGGAAATCTGAAATGAATTCAATAAATATACGGAGAATTTTCCCAAAAGGTTTCTTATTGTGGAGAATTTTAAGGTAATTCCGAGGAAAACTAAAAGAAAATTTAATTCGAAGGATAGCTTTATTGAAATGTTGAGCAATGGACTATTCTGAGGTCTTCAGAACTACTTGAAAGTTCCCAAATTTTTCCTGAAGTTAATGAAACTGCCTTGAAGTTCTTTGGTAGTTTGAGAAACTAGCCGGATGCTCACAATACTTTTCATCAAATTCTTAAACTTCCCTGAACTTTATAGAACTTCCTAAAGTTTCCTCAATGTTTCAAACGATCATGGATCTCCTCTAAAGGTTAAACAATTCACTGAACTTCTTTAAAATTTATGTGATTTCTCTAATATTAACGGAACTGCCTTGAAGTTTCGACAATTTTCCTTAAGTATTATAAACGCTCACTGATTTTCGCTGAACTTATCTATGGTTACCTGAAGTTCTCTAAATTTGTTTAATAATCCGGCAAGTTTTCTGATATATACTCATAATTCCCTGACGCTTCTGACGTTTTTGGATCAATCATAGAATTCATGGAATACCCCATAATTCCACGGAACTCCTTGTAAGTCTCTGCAAATTTGCTTAAGTTAATGGGATTATTCTGAAGCTATCTGATCGTCCTTGAAGTACTCGGAACTTCGCTGAACATCATGAAACTATCTAAAAGTATCTAAATTTATTAGAAGTTCTCTGGAATTTGTTGAAGATATCACTGCTTGCTAAAAGTTCTCGCTTTTTTTTTTAATTAATGGAATTTCGTTGATTTTTCCTTATTAATTTAGCTAAATTTTCGCTTTTTTTTAAGTTCTTCCGGATGTTCATATGCTTTTATCACGTTCCAGAAATTCTCTCAGAGCTTTGCTGAAATTTCCGGAAATTCCCGGAGTTTCTCGCAACTTCTTTAAGGTTTCTACAATTTCCTTGAAATTATTTCAACTACCCTTTGATTATCTAAACTGTCTTGATGTTCTCGAAGCTTCTCTAAAACTCTCAATTCTATTGAAGATTTCGGTTCTGCTGCTCGGAATTCCCGTAAACACCTTTAAATTTCCCTAAAAATATCTGGACTTTTGTAAAGTTTCTGAAATATTTCCGAAGTTTTCATAAATTCTCTGAAGGACTCTGGTCTTCCCTGAAATTCTCGGAACATCCTAAGAGTCATCGATTTTTTTTTAGCACATCATGGAACTATCCTGAATTTTTCTAAATTTACGATTATAGATCTTTAAACTGCTCCAAAAGTCTGGACTAAAGCTACGGAAACTGCTCTTAAGATCTGGGAAAATTCCCCAAAAATCTCAAGATCTAGCTTTTCTGAGATACTTAGAACTTCCAATAAATTTACACCAACCCCTCATATTTTCTATATTTCTCTCAAGTTCGATTGACACCTGTGAAGTTCTCTGAAATTCTATGAACTTCAAAAAAGTTCCCGAAAATTTCCCAATGCTAAAAGAACC